CATTGAAAGGAAAACACTGTAATATTGTTCAGTTTTGACAAGAAGTGTCTTGCATGCTTTTCTCCCTTGTCACTAGTGGTGTTGCCTCAAACATTGGTATATCATACACCATAGGACAGTTTTCCATTTCTTAATTTTTTTTAATGGTTTGCTGTGGCACTAACTGCACCAACTAGCAGTGGGTTAAAGCTGGCTCATAACCCGAATTTTAGCTCTCAACTCAAAGCAAGAGATTGGCCGAGAGACAGCTTGTATCTTGAAAAACTCATTAGTTGGGATACTCATAAGTCAAGATACACTGTATATGGAAATTATAATTAATTTACTCTTATTAAAGCACTTTAATTTTTATCTCGTATTATCTTTGGAAATCATACATGTTTTTAGTAACACGATCTGTACTCTTCTATTAAAATTTTAATAGAGAATTTCAATTAAAAATCTCTATTAAAATTTTAGATTCCTCATCTACAAGCTTTACATTATGAAGAACATTCCTTTTANGAATTAGTCTAGAATCGGTTAATTTTATAGAAGAAAACCTTTCAAACAGCCTTAGTCCGTAAAGTTCCCACCTATCGGGCTGCGATTGGCTCATGTATTTAATCATTCCTACAACGTAATTTTCGGTTAGCGTGGAACGTATCTAAGCGTTATAGGGGGGTCTACTGTATTTAAAAACAAAATATCAAAAAGAAAATTAAGAAAGGGTTATAAATTAATGAAAAAAGGAGAAACAACATTACAACTTGAAAGAAATATTAATTAAATGATAAGGAAGAAATACATGCTGTCACATTTAATTACATATGAATAGAAACATTCATAATTTGGAACAGTTTTATATGTATATAAGGAAGAATTAAAGAGAGAACAAATTATTAAAAATCAACATCACAAATAGTTTTGTGAGAAATAAAAAAATATGTTAGCTGATAACTAATGACTATCACAAGGTTATAAAAACAGCTGATAAGATCCTATAAAAACATTCTGTTAGAAATTTTAGAATATGTGTATATGCATTTTGTGTGTTTGTGTATGTACACACATATCCAGTTGTCATATAAAATTACTTTATTCATACTTCATTTGTCAACGTTAGTTTGAATTACAAAAATCCATCTCACCCGAATGTATTTACAACCAATGAGACAGATTTTGCATTTCACACGTTAATAATAATTTTCAGCTTAAATCATTGATCAGAAACGGTATAATTATGTAATTAAATTTTGATGGTGATGCAACTATTTTGATAGACAACATCTTAATTTAAGAGAGCGACATCTGCCGCTTAATATCATTTAGGATTTGCAATTTTTGATGTTATCATATTTTAATCTTTAATTATATAAATGCAGACAAAATCAGAACAAAATATTTTATGATGTGTTGATAATTTTTTCTACTCTAATACAACACAATCTTTACAACCTGTAAAAGTAGCAGTCTAATCATTGTGTTGCAAAAACACAAATTTGTGCATTGCAGATCTAACTTTAGAATTTCTNCCTACGATAGATGGCGCGCATTTACACGAGCATTCGAGCACAGTGTGTTCGATCGATTTCAAATTGTGAAGACCATTTCCCCCCTCCAAAAAATATCTCTATATATGCATTTATTATTTACGATATTTGTTATAATTTTTGTTTAATCACTTTATTTCAACTTTTTTTTGCTAATTACGTAATCGCTCAAACTTTGTTAAAGCCTTAACTGTATCATGAACAACAACCGAAGTTGTAGAAGGAAATTCACCCATTTTACCGATCTAGGGATCCCCCTTTTCCAAATTTTAATATCAACTCAAAATAATTTAAAAAGACAAATTACAATGAAATGGTTTATTATCCAACTATGAGAAATTTCACAACACGCCAAGGAAGAGAGGAAGGAACAATTAAATAATCAAAATTATGAAGGATTAAAAAATATATATAAAAATGGGGAATATCGAACTTCCAACAATCTCTGCGAGTATGTGGGCTAAATTTAAAGAATCCGTGCTTCTCGCTTGGACAATTGTATGTGGCCAACTCACACGTCGAAAAACCTTTTGATTTATTCATGTATGCACCAGACGGAAAAACAAAAAATATCGTGTATCCACAAAGCACTCCAATAAATACAGTGGTACCTCAGGTTACGAACGCCCCAGCATACGAAATTTTCAGGATACGACATGAAATTAAAACATATTCTTGCTCCACGATACGAACAAAAACTCACCATACGACGTTACATTAGTTCGCATTTTTCATTTGTTTTTCTTACTACAGTTATTTTTTTTAATGTATTACTTGGCTTTAATTTGAGTATGTTTTTCGCGTTGGAACGAATTATTTGGTTTTACATGTAATCGTATGGGAAAAGATGATCCACCTTACGACATTTTCATGATATGATCTCAGTTTCAGAACGGATTAATTTCGTATCCTGAGGTACCACTGTAAATAAAATTGAAACGACACTTTGAAATGTTTTCCCGATGAAAATGAATAATAATAATAAGTTTCAATGAAAATGATAAAATGTAAATTTAATTTTATCATAACGAGTTTGCTTGAATTTCCTTCTGAGATCATAGCAATGCGCGACGGGTAAGCTAGTATGCAATAAAACATATGGATGAATATACAGTATATGTGTATTTATTATTAGGCTTAGCTCTGTCATTGATAGACAGAGAATTTGATATAAGAAACTGGATTTTTAGTAAAAATCATTGTTTCAATAGGTAATTGTAGTTGATTTTGCTTATTTCAGTCATTAAGAGTAATTTTACGAATTATTTTTACTAAAAATCCCTAGAAAGTGCTTCTGGATATTCATCCTGAAAAAAATGAATAAAGACAATAGAGTAACTATCACATACAAGTACTATACAGTGCACAAGTCATGTTGAAATGAAAGTACAGTACTGTAATGACAAACCTTCACAATGTTGTGAAAATTTTTCCATTTTCAACCATTCATCATTTTTATTACTCTTTCAAAGGCTGATGTGCTAGCTTACAGAAAAACACACAATCAAGTGACATGGGCATTAGTTCACTTCCATGTTGTGTGTGGTGCCACTGTCTCTCATTATTCGAGTTTTCAATCTTTTCTTTCTTAAGGCAGTGAATGCTGCAACATCTGCAAAACTTCATTTTTCCTACCATGGGTCTGACTAAAGTGAGTGCGAAAGACAATGCTGAGAAGAAAAAGCAGATGATGTTCATTGACTTAAAGAAAGAAATTATTAAAAAACATGACCAAGGTGTGTGTACAGTCAACTTGGCAAAGTAGTACGAGTATAACACTTCTACAATCTGTGTGCGGTGCCACTGTCTCTCATTTTGCAAATTTTCCATCTTTTCTTTCTTTGTTTATGCATGGCAAAAGAGCAAAAACAGCAAATAAGATTCAGTTATTCTGTTCAGCCTTTCTCCTCCACCTTCGTCAGCATCTGATATCCAAGATAAATGCTGTACATTATACAGTACTTAATGAAACTAGTTTATTGCAATACATTCTATTGTATTTTTATATAATATTCGTTATTTATAAGTACATTTTTCTTATTTAAAAACATATAACAAAAAAATTGGGATATTTCGGGGGTCTGAAACGGATTAATGGCATTTCAATTCATTTCAATGGGAAAAATTGATTTCACATACAAGTAATTTGAGTTACGAGCTCCATCACAGAACGAATTAAACTCATAAGTTAAGGCACCACTGTATATATGTTGATTAATTTTTTCATCAATCAATGAAACTTTTTGAATTCATTTATTCTGAGCAATCAATTTATAAATTCATCATTTAGGAATGAATCTCTCATTTTGAACATTATACACTTAAAAATTTGTTTCCTATTATTAAATCAAATAATTTTTGCATTCTCTAGAGGAAAACTAATTCAGAATTTATTTATTTAAATAAGTCTTAATATTTAAAACATTAAATTATTCTTAAAACTTTGTTTTCGGTCAACTTTATCTTTTTATCATGTAATGCTTTGAAGTAATAATATTTCCTAACAGTGATTGGATTTTTAATTATTGGCTTATCATCAGTGAAAATTTTAACTGTTTTACATAATTTTGCAGGACAGCCTCTAATAAAAGGTCATCTCTCCAAAGAAAACCTGTTTTCTTCTTAGTGATGAACACAACAGAATTGAAGAGGACTTAGTTTCTTCTATATATTTTTAAATTGTAAACATTAAAAATAAATTTATAAAAAGATTTTAAATCAAAATTTGCATTTAATTGGACAATAAAGCATATAAATTATTCCAGGTGCATTCTAAACACTATTTCAAATCTTTACACATATGCTACACTTAAAAAAGTTTGATATATTTTAACTAAATTAGAATTTTTACATGCAGTAATTAACATTTATAGAATTTTGAAATTCTTTAAATAATAACAATAAATTACACTTTATTAATTTAAAATTTAGTTTTCAATTAAATTTGTAATATACTCAATGCAAATTCAAAAATGGAAACACAGGATGACTACGATTTATGAACCATATTAAGATGCTTAATAAAAAAATTAACCAGAATAGATATCATAAAATGGTTTTCGCATTGAATATGGTAACTCGAGATCTCTGGACATTTTTCTTTTAAGAAAAAAAAAAAAACAGTGCAATGAAAATTGGCAATTATCTGGATGTATTGACAATTGTTTTGTATAAAACATCAGCAGTTTTGATCTCCAACATATGCTGTATAATACAAGGAATCAAGTACAAACTGGATGTTGTACATACTATTACAGGTCTCATGTCAAAATTTATTAAATTTCTTAAGTACCCGTGGCTTTGTGATAGAAAGCTTTTTGAGTTATTATATTTGCTGCAAAATGCCATTGCTCTCCATATATATATAGTTTATGTTTTATTAATTATGTTAATCTGGTTAACAAATTACAGGCATCCTGTAAAAATTTAGGATACAATCAAAAAATCAAAAGAATCAAATATACTAACCTTAAGATGAGGGTATAATTCAAATAAAGTCCTTGTATCCGAGGGTACATCTTCAATAATGATACCATTTACTGCCAAAGGCATTCTGTCAAGCAAATTAAATAATAATTAATCAAAAAAATAATGCTATGGAAACTAAGATTTATAAAAATTTACAAACTTGCAAGGATCAAAATGATCCAATCCAAAGTTTTAAATTAAGGCCAATTTGTAACCTCTTTGGTTATGCATGCAATCTCCAGCAGATGGCATTAAAAATGTATTGTTTTTTCTATGGGAAAATAATTTTCTGAAAGTTCTCAAAAACAGAAGCAGACAGAATTTTCGGAAAGGGATTTTCCCATAGAAAAAGCATTACCATTTTAATGCAGTCTGTTTGAGATCGCATACATAAGCATGCGATCTCAAACAGATTGCATTAAAATGATCATAATCAGAAAAAAAGCTTTACTTGTTGACAAAATAATTTATATTACACAATAATTAATTTTACAAGAAACCAATTTGCTAAATCTCAGCACTTTTGAAAATGAGTTTTTATTTATTCAGTATTTACGAAACATTATTAAAGAATGTTTCATAAATACTGAAACATTGTTTAATAATGAATTATATATAATCTTATATTAATTAAATTATCCACAACCGTGAGGCAGATAATAGTGAGGGCTTATCAGACCAATGATGGGCACAAACGCTAAGGGATCAAAGTGAAAACAATTTAATAAACTCAAAAAATTACTACATAAGTGTGAAAACGAAAACCCAAAATGCATTTCGGACTATTTTCCCAATAGAAAATAGTCCCTCATCAGTTGGTATTAGTTAAAGGTAATGCTATAATAGAATTATACAAGGTAACAGTCAACTTTAAAACTAAGCCTAAAGTTATACAATATAAAAATTGAAGACACCACTATAACAGTATGAGTAGTAAGCATCATCAGTAAGTATTATCTAAAGTAGATGGTATATTAAAAATTATACAAAGTAAAGGTAAACTTAAAACTATGCCTAAAACTATACAATATAAAGGTGAAGATGCCATTATAACAGTATTACACTTGTCTACACTGATATTGCCTACTGCTCATACTGTTATAATGGCATCTTCACCTTTATATTGTATAGTTTTAGGCATAGTTTCACAGGAATTTTTTCCAAGATGAAACTTTTGAATCTTTTAATTAAGAAAATACAAAATGTAGTCAAAACTTTTTGAAAGTCACCAATCAAAAATGACATTCTACAGAAGCATATTAAAGATGAATTACGAAAAAAATCATTTCTACTATTAGGCTCAAAAACACGTTGAACAGTATGTTGACCATGCTGGAACATTTTTCAGGAGACCAAAATTCTGTCAGAAAAAGTCTAATTGATATTTGTTCAGATATAACCTTTTCTGAAGGTGAACTTGAATTGCTGTCTAATACAACACAATCTTTACAACCTGTAAAAGTAGCAGTCTAATCATTGTGTTGCAAAAACACAAATTTGTGCATTGCAGATCTAACTTTAGAATTTCTGATAGAAGAATTATCAAAATGGGATTTCTTTCTGCATAACGAACTAAAAAAAAAAAAAATTATTTTTTATGTGAAAGAGAGACAAACTATTTACTCTGATATTTTAATGTATCTACATAACCCAGAAAAATTGAACAAATGTAAGTCACACAAAATATCCAATAATGTTAAGGAAAATACAATTTTGAATGGGATTGTAGTAATCAAGCACTTATCAGAAAATGAAAACAAATCAACACTTGAGGATATCACTGAAATTAGTTTCTTATGAGAGGTGTTCATTGCTTACACGATCAACTTCTCACACTGACACGAGAACAAAGTGCACAATAAAAAAGTCAAATTTAACAATGAAAGAAATTGGACTTATTCATTAAACATAAAATGAGCATAGACACTGATACAGTAACAGTAATATAAGTAAATTTAAAAGTGTGAAAGATATAGTTAAAAAAAAATGAATTATTTTGTAGAATTTAAAAAGATTTTCAATGCTCTAATGACAGTACGTCCAACTAGTATTGATTCGAGAGAGCTTTTTCTAATACAGCTGCCATATGTACAAAAATTAGATCTAGATTAGATAATGAGAGCCTAAATATATTATGTTTTTTAAGAACCTACTTTCAAAATAGAGAAAAACATAATTAATAATCAGCATTATTTCAATGTCTGTTATATCATAATAATTGCTATCACAAGAATATTGTTTGTCTAAACTGATAGAAAACTTGAAAATAAATGGTTGTTCAATCATTCTGACAGAAATTCAGTTTCATTTTAAATCATTCGTTAATACGAATTTACCAGTAAATTACCAATAAACCGGTAATTTTGAATAAAATTACCAAATGACCAGTAATGCAATACTTGGTAAATTTGCAATCACTAATATATATATACATAAATATAAATGCTTCCAAATGCACTAGAACTAAACTGATTATTCGATTTCATTAGAAAATATTCTTACAGTCGACCCCCCTATAACGTACGTTCCTATAACGACAATTCCTATAACGTACGTTCCTATAACGACAATTCCTATAACGTAGCGAAAAAATTGTAGCAACTTTCGTATAACGTACCTCCTATAACGTCGTTTCGCGACAAGATTGATAGAGTCTGGACCAATAGTGGATGAGCAGCCGAACTACTTTCCTCCGACCCTGCGCCACGCTACGGAGCGGCTAAATTGAGTTTGCTATCGTCTGTTTAGTATTATATATAAATTATATATAAATTAGGTACTGTACATATAATTATACATTAATTATATATAAATTAGGTACTGTATATATAATTATATATTAACTTAATTTATTGTAACTTTATTATAATTATATATATGCTTTCTGCCGCCTGGCAACACGCTACGGAGATTTTAGGCTAGTAAGTTGAGTTTATTATCGTCTGCACAGTATGTAAATTAGGTACCGTAAGTCTAATACAGCACTAATTTTATACATTTCTTGTGAAAGAAACACTTCTTATTCAACGTCCATAAAAATTATTTATATTAATGATGTCTCCAAAGGTCAAGTTATTTTTCTGCCAAAAATTCGTTATCAGAAATTGCGGCCGTCGTTTCGTGTGCTGTTCCGCGATGAAAACCAGCTTTAAGCAACGGCGTAGTCGAATGGTACACACTCGGTAAGTAATCCTATAATTTTTTGTTTATAGCATAGTTTATACAGATTATTCCCAAAAAATTATACGTATTTTGGAAATGTTGAGTGGAATTAGTCTAGAATCGGTTAATTTTATAGAAGAAAACCTTTCAAACAGCCTTAGTCCGTAAAGTTCCCACCTATCGGGCTGCGATTGGCTCATGTATTTAATCATTCCTACAACGTAATTTTCGGTTAGCGTGGAACGTATCTAAGCGTTATAGGGGGGTCTACTGTATTTAAAAACAAAATATCAAAAAGAAAATTAAGAAAGGGTTATAAATTAATGAAAAAAGGAGAAACAACATTACAACTTGAAAGAAATATTAATTAAATGATAAGGAAGAAATACATGCTGTCACATTTAATTACATATGAATAGAAACATTCATAATTTGGAACAGTTTTATATGTATATAAGGAAGAATTAAAGAGAGAACAAATTATTAAAAATCAACATCACAAATAGTTTTGTGAGAAATAAAAAAATATGTTAGCTGATAACTAATGACTATCACAAGGTTATAAAAACAGCTGATAAGATCCTATAAAAACATTCTGTTAGAAATTTTAGAATATGTGTATATGCATTTTGTGTGTTTGTGTATGTACACACATATCCAGTTGTCATATAAAATTACTTTATTCATACTTCATTTGTCAACGTTAGTTTGAATTACAAAAATCCATCTCACCCGAATATATTTACAACCAATGAGACAGATTTTGCATTTCACACGTTAATAATAATTTTCAGCTTAAATCATTGATCAGAAACGGTATAATTATGTAATTAAATTTTGATGGTGATGCAACTATTTTGATAGACAACATCTTAATTTAAGAGAGCGACATCTGCCGCTTAATATCATTTAGGATTTGCAATTTTTGATGTTATCATATTTTAATCTTTAATTATATAAATGCAGACAAAATCAGAACAAAATATTTTATGATGTGTTGATAATTTTTTCTACAAAGTGGACTTTTTATTTACAAATATTCTAAATTATATGAATGGACATATCAAACTTTATGCATTGTTGTATAAGCAAAATCAGAACTGACAGAACAAATGAACGCATAAAATTTTTATTCTATAAAAACTGTTTTTTTTTATTAAATAAAAGGAAATAAAATTAAATTAAAAATAATAATTATGTTATTTTCCTGTAAGTCTAGAAGGAAATAAATTAGGAATGCACTATTTTTTAATAGCTTATTCAATCACACACAGGTATTGAGGGGTGGCAAATATTGCCTTTGCAACATCACCCATAAAAATTTAAATAAAAAGTCTTTTTTTTTAAAGTTATTTAATAACTTTTAATAGTATATTTTAAAATATACTATTTTTATAATATAAAATTATTATAAAAATTTTTATGTTCGTGATAATATTTCTTGAGCTTTATGATATAATGGATGTATTTCTTAACCCCTTTCTTTAGATTAGAGTGAATGAACTTCATACTGATAATATTGACATAAGAGCTATATAAAAATAATTTTCAAATAAACAAAAATATGCATTTCTTTTAAAAGTAGCATGGTCTTTTAATTCCTATAAATTGTCACTAAAAAAATTTCAATATTTGTTGCCAGATATACTGGTGATGTCATTCCTATTGTTAAAGCAAACAAGATCAAATGTAATTGTATTCTCTCTTCGCAGAGTATCTACTCAAACAACGATGGACTTTGAATAAATCCGTCAGATATTTATCCATTGCCAGGTTGTGCACTTATTTATGACAAAATATTGGCAAGTGTTTGGCAGTGAGATAAAATTTCTATATTGTATTTTCATGAAGAACAAATAAAGAGATGGGGGTTGCAATAACTTAAAATTCTATCTATGGATTTCAGTACAGCATTCCAGAAGT